AGATCTCTGATATAAGATAGAGCTTGGCCATTTAAGGCTCTATATGTGAGGAAGCCAGTGAAGAGAAGCAAGGATGGAGGAGATGTGATCTCTCCTTTTCATTTTCATCAGAACTCTGGTTGCAGCACTTTGGATCAACTGAAGGCTTTTAACTACAGTTTGAGGACTTTCTGATAGTAAAGAATTACAATAGTCCAGCCTTGAGGTAGCAAATGCATGGATTAGTTTCGCAGCATCATCCCAGGACAGGATATTTCTAATTTTTGCAATATTGTGCAGATCAGAGAAGGAAATTCTAGAAACCTCTTTGATATGGGATTTAAATGACAGGTCCTGATCAAAAATAAAACCAAGATTTTTACTTTTTTATCTGAAATCAGTTTAATCCCATCCAAATGAAGTGTCTGACTAAGCTTCTTTTTCCAAGACTCTGGTCCAAAGAGTTTTTTCTGCATTTAGGAGCAGAAAGTTAAGAGTCCTCCAGGTTTTTGTCTTCAAGAAATGCCTGTAATCTATGTAACTGGTTAGCTTCATCATCATTTATATAGAGATATAGCTGAGTATCATCAGCATAATGGTGGAAATAACCCCATGCTGTCTAATAATTCTACCAATTGGGAGCATATTTATAATAAGGAGAATTGGTCCTAGCACTGATCCCTGTGGTACTCCACAGGTAACCTTTGAGCATGAGGAAGATTTGTCATTAAGGTGAACAAGTTATTTAAACCAGTCTAGTGCTGTTCCTTTAATTCCTACAAAATATTAAAGTCTTTCTAAAAAAAATTATGATAAACTGTATCAAATGCAGCACTGAGATCTAACAGGAAAGGTACAGATACAAGTCAATTATCTGAGGCCATGGAAATATCATTAGCAACTTTCACCAGAGCTGTTTCAGTACTCCGAGGAGCTCTAAAGCCAGACTGAAACTCTTCAAAAAGTTCATTATGGTGTAAGTTATCGCAAACTTTTTTGGCAACTACTTTCTCAAGAATTTTGGATAAGAAAGGAAGATTGGATATAGGTGTCATGATTTAATTAAAGGTCTGACTCAAAAATGCAGAAGACCAAACAGAGAGACCAGGGAAAAGTTTAACAGGTTCATTAAGAATATTGAGATGAGTCCAGTGCTGCTCAGAGTAGAATGAAATGAGTCCAATGCTGCTCAGAACACAGCTCAACCAGAACTGAAAGGTGAGGGGAAGACACTGTGGTTAGTTCAGGCTCAGTGGGAAATTTGAATCTTTGGTTTGAATTGGAGGAATAGGTTGCAGACTCACTTCTCCAGGAAAAGGTGTCCTTTATGGAATCCAGTCTGTGTGGAATGTTCCAGAGATTGTCTTGTTTGGTGTTGGGCGGACTGGGTTACTCAGACTGCGGTTGTTCCTTGGTGAATGTAGAAGTTGACTGCCACTCAGATTTCCTGCTGTACTTGAATGGGCTGCGGTGCAGATGAAACCTTTGCTTGGTGTGAAGCTCAAACGATCTCTTGGGAAAAGTGGATCCAAACTTCCTGTTTGGGACCCCAGCTCAGTTAGAAGCTCAGTTTATCCAGAGAGAGAAAATCCAGTTTGCAGGATGACTTCCTGCCGAGAGGCAAAGAAAAAAAAAAAAAAGTTAAGACTCAGGTTGACAAAAACTCAGCTTGGCTATAGTACCCAAAACTGGCAAACAAAAACTCAGGTTAGACTCTGCTAAACTAAGCATGGCTAGAGTACCCTGTATAGGCAAACACTCTGGCGTCGAGGTAGTGGCATACAGCAGCTTAAGAGCACTCCACAGATAATGAGGCAATGAGCTGCAGGTGTGCAGGGAGACCCAATGAGGATGGGGCACCACCTGGTGGAGGAGGAAAGGAAACACAAAAACAGACCACACAAACTGGATTCCTGACAATAGGTCTATAATTTTTTAGAAGAGATCTAGGTCAAGAGACAGTTTCTAAAGTAAAGATTTTATTACAGCAACCTTAAAAATACCTTTGGTACATATCCCTTTAACAGAGATAGATTAATCACATCTAAAATGGTGGACGAGATCAAAGGAAATACTTCCTTAAATAACCTGGTGATGCAAACAGCAACTTTAAAATAGAGCTTGCACGAGGAGAAATGGGCTTCTTCATGCTCTCACAAATGTTTAACAGCCGTTTCCTCTTGGGAGCAGGTACAGAGTTGTGCACGTGTTTTTTTTTTTTTTTCAGTTGAGAGGGCAAGTTTTTTTTGTTTTTTTTTAATTCATGAAAATCCTCCATTATACCTTTAAGGCTGAAACTGAACTGTTTTACCTAGATAGAAAATGCTACATGCCAACTAACATGTAGGTTAGACTCAACACCCTATTTCTACCTGGGCTGCAGCATCATGCTGTGGGGATGATTTACTCACTTAATCTAAAACTGATCAAATTGATGGAAAGTTGAAGGGAGCAATCATGGAATAAATTTTAGAGGCTGTAAAATACTTGAGACACAAATAGCTAAATTGGATGGTGTAGATCCAATAATCAATAGGTTATATGCCGTAAAGAGAAAATGATCTGTCTCTCCAAGTCTTCAGTGAAATTATATATACTGTAATATATACATATATACTGTAAATAAATATTTTTATAAAACAAACTTTAAATAATCAATTTTTATATTTATAAATATCAATTTAATGTAGAATGATTTTGATAAAAGAAGGTAAGTAATGACGATGGAAAAGAGGTTCGCTCCAGCACTTAAACCTCAAAGAATTTTATCCAATATACCTTTTATCTAGACGGATGTTTATATGCATCTATTTGTTAGCAGGCTGTAGGAAACAGTAAGTTAGTGTTTATTTAGAAATATGGACTTTGTGCTTGTTCCTGTTGGAACAGTGTAGATTGACCCAGAGGTTCTGGTGCCTATCCACTTTTTGACCACCCCTCAGTGTACATTGGTTATTGCCTGGCCACCCTTACAAAAAATTTCTGGCAACGCCTCTGGAATATATCAAATAAACAATCTGAATTTAAATAAGATGCAGCTTTATAGTGGAAAAATAGGTAACCCGTCCTGAAATTTCAACCACAGTGATCAGCGCCTCCTTTCTTTACACATTAATGAAAGCATTTCCCTGTGGATGTTGCATAGATGTGTCCTCCTTCAAACTCAGTGACGGGTCTGTCCCGCCCTCAGCTCGTTGGCTCAGCTCTGGAGCAACCAAGCTGGACTCATTCGCAGAAGAAGCTGCCGAGAAGCACAGCTGGTTCCGTAGAAGCGAAAAGACGGACCGACACCAGCCGCTGTTCTCCATCGCCGGGGAGGGCGCGTTGCGCGCAGCCATAAACACGCTGCCGTCCTTCATCGTTTCTTATTCAAAGCGGTGGGGATGCACCTGGGGGTCTCACATGGCCGCTGAGGAGACGCAGAACGGTAGAACATTCTGATCCATTGCTGAAGATGGGGCAAAGGATGAAGTTTGCTGCTGCGGTGCTTTGGTTCTCCTTGGCTCTTTGGGAGGCTGCCGCGCAAGGTGAGAATCTGGAAAGGAAATCCTGATGTAAACTGATGAAAGTGATTTGACAATAGAGGAGGGAAGGTGGGGAAATAGACTTGGAGTCGCTCTGTGCAACCCATCACATCAGGCTTATTATTAAAACCAATTAGAGAGCATTTAAAATATTCAGTCTAGTGCGCACTTTATATAGGGTTTACGACTGAATGGACGTTTTGAAATTATACTTTATCATCGAGCTAGGAAGCGGGACAATACGCTGGGGTCAGTGAACAGGACCGCGTTCATCTTTTATTAAAGAGTGAGTTCACAGCGCCCCCCGAGGGACGTGGGACACATGATGAGCTGAGAGGAGAACTGTTGCGGAACAATAAGAGCCAATTCAACAAAGGAGGGGAATGAAATCCCTCATATAATAAAGAGATTCATCTCTCAAACGCTTTATTATGAGAAAAGAGAGGCAGGATTCCCTGTCTTCTGGAGGTTAGACTTACTTATGAGCGTACAGATTCATTTTATAAAGAAATAGCCTGTCATTTAAAAATTGCAAGTAGGAATAGGCCCACTTAGTTGTGAAAAATATCAACATTTATCTCTTTTAAGAAAAATATTTTTAATTTACTCAAGTTACAGTTGCCTCACTGCACCCAATTCATTTACAGTTGAGTTGTATTATAAAGAAGTCAAATATTGTTTCTGTTGTTTTTTGTTTTGTTTTTTTTGTCTCTCCCAATTTTGTCTTTTTTTTCTTTATCTTCATTATTTTTACATTGGTCCAAGATTGTCTAGAGTCCGGGAATCTTGATTAGCTGTGACCCCAATCCCTTTACAAAATACGGTCCTGATTAGTTTACATTTGTCTGATTCATCTGCCTTAGGTATGCATGCCTTGGTTTTGTCCACTTTTATCGTTTTTTTCTTTTTTCTGTGTTCTTTATTCAATTTTGTCTTATTGTCATCAAAAAACAAAAGTTATTTAAAAAAAACAGTACGGTGTATTTTATTTTAAGGTTAGGGTTTGAAAAGTGGGTGCTTTAAACAGTGATTTAAAAAAATGCAATTTGTTATTACATGTTCACTTTTCAACTGATACATGGAAAGAGTTTGACTGAAAGCAGATAATTCATTTGTTTTACTCATTAAACAAATTATATATATATATATATATATTAAAAAAAATTTAGATGAAGAAAAATAAAGACACCCTACCTACAAGCAGCGTCCTTTGGCTGAAACCATTTCAGTGAGAAGCATCTTATAGCCCTATCATCATCATGTTCATTTGTGAGATTTCATGTGTTTTTTTTGTGTTTGTTTTGGTTTTTTGTGTTTTTCTATTAAGTGTTTCTTGAATCCACATGATATTTAAGTCACATATTTCAATGACATCAAGTCTGGGCTTTGGCTCAACTTTGCACTTATAGTTTCTTATTTCTCATTCATTTAAAGTTTATATTGTTATCTGTAACATTGAGTGGTGAAAAACACATTCTTTATTACATTGTTAAATCCTTTACCACATTCATAAGCTCCTATTCCTCTTTTGTGGGGAAAGACCATACCCACCAAGAGCACATATGTTGTTAAAAAGGCCAAACTGTCTTCGAAAAGCTAATTTGTGATATCACTCTGAAAAACATGTAAATTTAGAGAAAAAATACTAACAGCTACAGACACCAGCATTTTACCATAAATTTAAATAATCTTTACCATAAGTTGTTCTGACAGTAGTTTGCTATCAAAGTAAATATATTACAGCTACTGTAACGAAAATGGTAAAATACAGGTGAATTGAACTGCTGGTAGTTTACTGTAAATTTACATTACATTGGAAACTGTCATTTATTTTAAATGAAGTTTACTGTTAATTACTGTTATTTAATTATATACTGGTATCTGTAGCTGGCAGTATTTAAAGGTAGGTTTAGTCTAAATTGTAGACTTAGTTTTAGAGAAACATAATGCACTCACATTAACTGGATTTTTGGGCTTTATACATAATTTGTTAGCAACAAGTAGTATTGGTAGAATCATAATCATAGTATTCTACTTAGTGTAGGCATGCCTCATGAATTAGACTCACTGGAATTTGAGGAATTACACTTTGTTTTGTCTTAAATAATGTTTAACAGACTCCTTTTTTACAATCTTTAAGATGCATGACAGTTACTATACTGCCACCTGTGGTCAAACAAAGACCTGCAGCAATCTTCTGCTCATTCTCGTAGCTCCTACTTGACAAGATTTGTTTGTATTTATTTATTTTTTTACTTTTTTCACCTTAGCTATAGTTGCCATTGATGTCTGCGTAGATTAAGAAGTAAATATTAATACTGTTCTGCACTTACAAAATATAAGATGAAGGCTGGCTGGCAAATTTAAACCGGTTTCAACATCTGGTGTTGCACAATACTGTATAGCATGGACAAGTGTATGTCCGAAAAACAGTAAGCATATCCAAAGAGGGATAAAACTTGTAATTCATGCTTTCAATGTTCATTGAAATTGGTCATCAATAGTTTGATGACAAGGGATATGCAATGTGCAATGTGATTTTTGCTAATACCCTTTTCCTATTCTCTAATCTTGGGGTACCAAGTATATTATAACGTTAACAGTCATAACTAGGACTGGGCACTTAATTGCATTTTAAATATTATAGCAATTTAGAAAAATGCAATTTTCATATTGCAGAGGCACTAAACTTTTAGTCACAATACATTTAACAAGATTAAGAAACTGCATTTCTCCCTCCAGCCCCTTAGGTGGCAGTAAAAGGATTAAAGCTGGTATGCTGTCACACCAAAGGAAAAAGAGAGTTGGAGCTAGCAACTAGATCTATGCTATATAGTAGAAGAAGAACTGTTTCAAGCAAATTTTACAGTAAAGTCCTGCAACACTGGATTCTGGACGAGAAGGCTTTCAAGGTTAAGAAAAACCTGAAACCCTGCAGTAAAGCATCGCCATGCTTTTGCTTAGTGCAAAAGAAAATGGCAAAAAAAAAATTGCAGTTGAAATATTGGTTGAAAAAAACGCACTTTGATCTTTGGCAAAATTGTTCAGTCCTAGTCATAACTGACTGTTGAATACCAACATTTAAACTGGATCTTTCATTTGGTCCTGGAACCCAGTATATTTTTGGTCCAATATAAATAATATATATATAACCTGCAATAAAATAAAAAGAAACTAAAAAACCAACAAAAAATAATTTCAATACTATACCAGAATTTTTTTTTCATTAATAGGGAATCAGCTGTAATTAATATTAAAAATCGTGTTGTGTTTTTTATACTTGGCTAGTGGGAACAATGGCGGCTCTATCAGTTGCATTGTATATTTTTTACTGTGGTTGATTGGCGTTTGGTACCGTTGCCTAGCAACCAACATTCTACCTAGAACTCTTAGGCTGATATGGAAAAATGGCTTTCAGAAAAATTCTAACAGCGAAACAGGCTTTAGAAATGCTTCAAAATATTGATGATAGCGATTTAGACGGAGAAGGAGACACCGATGAGGAGGACTGGCCGCTAGGGAGCGGCTCAGATTCTGACAGCAAGTCAGATGATGATCGCCCAGCCCCGGCAAAATGCAGACATATGGGTGACCCATCAGACAATAGGGAAACTTTTGTTAAAGTTTTGGATAGTACTGATCACAACCCAGGCATTGCACTCAGTGGCCCAAAAGCCAAACCAAAGCCCATGGTCTACTACTGTATAATCACACACAGGTCAGCATGGATGTGTTGGATCAGATGATTAGAAAGTATTCTTTAAAAGCTCCAATGCAGAATTGGCTTGTGGCTATATTTTACGGTTTGCCTGGACATAGCAGCTATAAACGCGTTGGTTTTGTTTGAACGTTACTGTCTCAGCTTTGTAAGTGTCAGAGCTGCACAAAAAATGCTGATATGATGTTTGTCATAAATCTGAAAAGGTAGTGTGCGGGAAATGTGTGGGGGTAATCAATCAATTTCTGCAGATAAAATTGTAATTCTAAACTTTTAACATGTGTGGTAAAACTGTCTTATTTATTTTACAGATTTATTTTTAATACAAATTTAAACCACAAATAATAACAGCATACAATACAGCCTTTAAAAAAATATATATATATTAGACCTGTTCTAAGGTGTACCTATCCACAATGAGTTTATATTGCACACTAGAACCATTTCAGTTAATGAGATTATCACTACTCATGCATTCCATTGGGAAAATGTCACCTGTCCAATTTACAGCCAGTGGGAGTTCTAGTATCAGAATTCTGGGAGACCTGGTGTTAAAAACACGAACACACACACAATTGCATATGCTCTCTTTTACCTTCTAGACTGAAATATTTGATTAGAATCCTCAGCCAAACTAAGTCCCTAAAGGAGCTACTTACTTTATTTTCTCTCACATTGAAAGTACACTTATCAGTGTT